TTACGCAATAGAAAACAACAATGTACCTCAAATAAATATGGGCGTGTAGGGTTTTTTTAGCCCTACACGCCCATATATATATATTTTTTCATGTGTTAGAAAAAAAAAAATCCTGCACCAAACTCGGTTGGTCGGCCGAGGCCGACCCTGGCCGATTCGGCCATCGGCCGAGGCCGCGGCCGATTTCCCCCCCCCCGGCCGCGACCGAGCGTGCAACATAGACGCTGACCAAACATTGGGAAAACTGAAACTGGTGTGTCCATTTGTTGGTCCATTTGTTGAAAGGATGTTCGTCCATTTGTTGACCATTTGTTGACAACTTTTTGAAAACTTGTTGAAGACTTGTGCAGAACTTGTTGAAACGTGTTGAAAACTTGTTGAAACGTGTTGAAAACTTGTTGAAACGTGTTGAAAACTTGTTAAGACGTGTTAAAGACGTGTTAACCTTTCGTACAACGTTACGTTTTGTGTTGGGGAAAAAAATCGAAATTTTTGGCTCATGTCGTCGGTTTTCGCGGTTTCTTCCCGTTCTTTTTATCCTGCTGCACGATACGCTATGCTCTTTCGCAAATGTCAATCGTTGAGTCTTTCAGTACTCCTGACATGCAACGACCACAATAACTGAAGATAAAGAGAGAGTGCCCCACAGAGAGAGAGAGAGAGAGAGAGAGAGAGAGAGAGAGAGAGAGAGAGAGAGATGCAAGCAGGGTTCACTACTGCGTGACACAAATTCACCAACATGGCAGTGCGAGACAGACATTGGCCCGCAGTAGCCAACCTTTGTTTTTGATTGGTGCTGGATTGCGGTATTTCATTTTGCTGATGGACGCGTGAGGGAGCGTCGATTAAATGCTGAGCTGCCCTGCTACAAGCACGGTTCACTACTGCGTGACACAAATTTACCAACATGACAGTCCGCGAGAGAAAGTGACACGCAGCAGCCAACCTTCCTTTTTCGAGTCTGTAGGATTGTTGTACTTCATTCTATGGACGGACGCGTGTGGGAGCCTCAATTAAATGCTGAGATGCCCTGCTACAAGCTCGGTTTACTACTGCGGGCCACAAATTTACGAACATGGTCGTCCGCGAGAGAGAGTGACACGCAATAGCCAACCTTCCTTTTCGATTCCGTAGGATTGCTGCGCTTCATTCTATAGATGGACGCATGAGGGAGCCTCAGTTAAATGTTGAGCTGCCCTGCTACAAGCACGGTTCACTACCTCATGACACAAATTTAGCAACATGGTGGCATGAGAGAGAGAGTGGCACGCACAAGCCAACCTTGCATTGAGGACAACCACGGATGGTGTTTTTTTCACAACATAGTCGCTCTATGACCAATCACACAAAGATGAGCATTACAAGGGATTGTACAATTGTGTATCATAAATAACAGACCATATGTTGTAAAGTGACTGTTCAAGTGCCATGGTTCAGAGTCTTCATCTCC